TCCTGTCCCACCTCCATCATCCTGTCCCACCTCCATCCACCATCTTGTCCCACCTCCATCCACCATCCCATCCCACCTCCATCCACCATCTTGTTTCACCTCCATCCACCATCCTGTCCCTCTTCCATCCCATCCCACATCCATCCACCATCTTATCACCTCCATCCACCATCTTGTCCCACCTCCATCTTGTCCCACCACCACCTTCACCACCCCGTCCCACCTCCGCCACCCGCGCGTTGCCGGTTCCGTTCCATGGGACCGTTCGTTGGCGTCGCGGCAGCACCGAATCCCGCGGGGCGCGTCTGCCGAGCATCTCCACCACCTTCTGTCTCTCTGGGATCCCACCACCCATTTTGGGTGGAGACACCTCGGGGATGAAACCCGGCACCTTCCCATGGCCGTTGGGTTGGGCGTTGGGTTGGGTCTTGGGTTGTCCATTGAGTTCTCCACTTGGGTTGTCCATTGGGTTCTCTATTGGGTTGTCCATTAGGTCACCCATTGGGTTGTCCATTGGGTCATCCATTGGGTCGTCCATTGGGTTGTCCATTGGGTCACCCATTGGGTTGTCCATTGGGTCACCCATTGGGTTGTCCATTGGGTCGTCCATTGGGTTCTCTATTGGGTTGTCCATTGGGTCGCCCATTGTGTCGTCCATTGGGTCACCCATTGGGTTCTCTATTGGGTTGTTCATTGGGTTGCCCATTGGGTTGTCCATTGGGTCATCCATTGGGTCACCCATTGGGTTGTCCATTGGGTTCTCTATTGTGTCGGCCATTGGGTTCTCCACTGGGTCGCCCATTGAGTTGGCCATTGGGTTGGCTGTTGAGTCAACCATTGGGTTGTCCATTGGGTCACCCATTGGGTTGTCCATTGGGTCACCCATTGGGTTCTCCATTTGGTTGCCCATTGGGTTGGCCATTGGGTTGTCCATTGGGTCACCCATTGGGTTGTCCATTGGGTCACCCATTGGGTCCACCATTGGGTTGTCCATTGGGTTGGCTGTTGAATTGACTGTTGGGTCAGCCATTGGGTTGTCCATTGGGTCGCCCATTGGGTTGTCCATTGGGTCGCCCATTGGGTTGTCCATTGGGTCACCCATCGGGTCTCCCATTGGGTTGTCCGTTGAGTCAACCATCTTCCCTTCCACGTCCCCCCGCAGATCTGCGTCCTGGAGTGCGAAGGCCGCGCCGTGCCGCGAGCCACCTGGGAGCTCTGCGCCGCCGCCGCCCGCCCGGCGCCGCGCCCGCGCCGCCTCCCCGCCCCGGCCTGGCCCTCGGGCGAAGCCGCGCCGCCCGCCGCCGCCGCCGCCAAAACCTCGGAGGACATTTCCCGGCGCTCGCCGCCGCCGCCGCCGGCCAAGGATGTGCAGAAACGCTACGGCGGCTTCATCGGCGTGCGCAAGGCGGCGCGCAAGTGGAACAACCAGAAGAGGTTCAGCCAGTTCCTGCGGCAGTACCTGGGCATGGCGCCGCGCTCCAGTGAGTACGGCGGCCGCGCCGGCGCCGCCGAGCGCCTCTGAGCCGCGCCCGCGCCGCCGCCGCCGCCGGCGAGGGGAAGAGTTCGGCTCAAAAAAGAAAGCACCGGGAACGGCGGCGCCGCGGAGCGGGAGGGACGGGCACGGCGCGGGGACGGCGGTGGGGGAGCCTTTGTGGAGAGCTCGTGGGGAAGGTCTGGGGCCATCTTTGAGGGCATCTCTGGGGTTGCCATCGTGGTCACAGCCTTGGGGGCACCTTGGGGGTCAACTTTTGGGGTCACCTTGTGGTTACCATTGGGGGCACCTTGGGGGTCAACTTTTAGGGTCAACCTCATGGTCACCCTTGGGGTCACCTTTGGAGTCACCTTTGGGGTCACCTTAGGGGCATCTTTTGGGGCACCTTTGGGGTCACCTTCAAGGTCACCTTTGGGGCCATCTTTGGGGTAATTTTTGGAGTTGCCATCGTGGTCACAGCCTTGGGGGCACCTTCGGGGTCAACTTTTGGGGTCACCTTGTGGTTACCATTGGGGGCACCTTTGGGGTCAACTTTTAGGGTCACCTTTGGGGTCATCCTCATGGTCGCCCTTGGGGTCACCCTTATGGTCACCTTTGGGGTCACCTTAGGGGCACCTTTGGGGCACCTTGGGGTCACCTTCAAGGTCATCTTATGGGGCCATCTTTGGGGTAATTTTTGGAGTTGCCATCATGGTCACAGCCTTGGGGGCACCTTCAGGGGCAACTTTTGGGGTCACCTTGTGGTTACCATTGGGGGCACCTTTGGGGTCAACTTTTAGGGTCAACCTCATGGTCACCCTTGGGGTCACCCTTATGGTCACCTTTGGGGTCAACCTCATGGTCGCCCTTGGGGTCACCCTTATGGTCACCTTAGGGGCACCTTTTGGGGCACCTTTGGGGTCACCTTCAAGGTCACCTTTGGGGCCATCTTTGGGGTAATTTTTGGAGTTGCCATCATGGTCACAGCCTTGGGGGCACCTTGGGGGTCAACTTTTGGGGTCACCTTGTGGTTACCATTGGGGGCACCTTTGAGGTCAACTTTTAGGGTCAACCTCATGGTCACCCTTGGGGTCACCCTTATGGTCACC